AAAAAAAAAAAAAAAAATGAAGCTCAGTGTTCTGCTAGTGGTTATTTCTGGAAGCAAGCTGGAGCATTAAAGCTGTACAGATCAATGTATTTATAATAACAATGGATCTAATGTCTGTGCGTCATAATGGAGCTCTTAGCAACTAAAAGTCAGCTTTTATGACACCATGACTCCACTATATCTTTATGTATCTAATAATTGATTGTTATTTGATACTAATGTTTTAAATCTCATCTGTATAACCTTTTAAGTATTCTATTATTTTTTACCAAGTGTACCCGTGCAGTGTAGCCTCTTTTAGCTTTAAATCGGGGAACCTTACAGTGTTGAGCATTGTGCCCTGCTGTGTTTATGTCTGCACTCTCTGTGATAAAGATTCAGGGTGCACATGGCTTCTATTAGGTCTCTGTTTTGGCTGTCTGAAGCCAAACCTTCTTCCACATCCTCTCGCTGTTTTGAGAAACATCACACTCATCCCTTTTCTCATTGTCTCTGAATCAGAGGCTATAAGCCTGGCCAAATATTTTCAGAGGCCTGCTCGCTTTGCCCTGTGCTCCGGTGAAACATGATGTTACTCTGTGTTTCAGCTTATACTCATGCTGTCTTTCTCTCCGTGTTTTGTTCTCCTCAGACTTTGTTACAGTCACCCTGTCTCTCCGTTTTGGCGATGTCACCGTCACAGCAAGGGATTTCACCTTCTATGACTGCACGGCTGTTAAGCAGCTGTCTGGCAGCATGCCGTGAGTTACCCACCGATGATTTATCAGCTCTCCTCCCGATGTGCTCTACTCACTGCACACCTTATAATCAAGTCTGTCTGAGACTGTTTCCATTTTGTACCCTGTTCATTCTTTGTCAATTCACCCTCCACCTGTCTGACTTATGTCTGTGTTTTTCCATTTCTTCTTACTTGCTCTCCTGGTTTTAATTATTCTCTCCAAACCTGTGACCCTGTACTTTAAATACTCTCTCATACTTCAGCCAGTTGTTCTTTCATGTCCATATATCCCATGATATATATCATTGGTGTAGGCCCACTAAGGCTGCAGGCATCTGACTCCTGCCCCTCGCTCTCTCTCAGTAGTCTTTCCATCTTAACATATGCTCATCACATGGCTCAGCTGTGCTGGTTGAGCCTGGGTTTAACTGTGAACACAGTACCATACTGACTGGCTTTGTTCAGGATAGATCTCCATCATATGAGAGGTGGAAGATGCTGGGCCTCATACTTTTCATATTTTTATCCTAAACTTCCATGTTGGCATACACCAAACACTCAGCAGCTGAGAATTTTCCAGCAACTACTGAACTGATCAGTTGCCATACCCAAATGGCAGTAAAAAAAAAAAATTCTTTAAATCAACCCCTCACTAAATTGTCAAGAAATGATGATGATATGGTGAACTGACTATGAATTTTGCATTAAATTGTACACCGATCAGCCATAACATTGTGAGCACTGACAGGTGAAGTGAATAAC